CTCGATGAAAAATGTTGGCAGCATTGCAAAACACAAGACCAGTCGCAATTTGCTTCGCCATTTTAATCTTAGTTTCCCATGGGATCGACGAATTTTCGCGTAAATATTCCTGGAGACTTTTATTTTCCATCCATTCAGTAACCACAAACAAATAATCAGTTCCTTCTATATTCTCATCATAAATTCCATAACTATAAACAAAGAAAAAGAATCAATTAGGTTAGTTAAATGAACGATCATAGAGTTATCCAAAAATTATAAATGAATACTTAAAATTTTTCAATATGATTGCATGAGCCGAGTAAACTGATGATTTTTGCGGTCTTTTCAATTTTCTTTTTCTCTTTATCCAATTCAAAACTTTGTAGTTTTTTCACTGCAACTTCGTTTCCAATGTAGATACGTTTCCGGATGTTGTATCGCGTGACTTCCTCCATCTTCTTCTCCTCATCTTCATTAAAGAAAGATGGATTAATTTTCAAATCCTTAATGGCATCATCTGTCAGATCGTCATCGCCCCCCTTCTGCAACAACATAATTTCTATAAAAGACTTTAAATCTTCGGCTATGTCTTTCATATCATTTTGCATATCTGAAATCTTATTATTCAAGGCATTTATTTTATTGCTATTATCAAGTGCCAAGCTGTTATAAAAATCCGTAGTGGCATCCATAAGATTTTGCAGCAATTTCTCATTCGCAGCGGCAATCTTAAATAAGATAATTAAATATCAATTAATTTGATCATGAAATAAATGAATAATTCATAAAAATCCTACGTTATCTGCATTCGCTATTTTTTTGAGCCATGCAATTGCCTTTGCGTTAAACTTTCCGGGTTTATTGATTTCTTTTGTGTAAATAATGATCCAAATTTCTTATTGAACATGCATGCGATAGATTCTGTAACAGTATGCTTAATCACTCTGCATGTCGTGTTACTTTCAAAGCATATATACAGTATATCGGAAATGTGCATGTTGCTCGATTTCAACACAACAAAATGGAAGAGGAAGAGCAACTTCCGGCACCTGATATCATAGAGGATTCCGCAAAGTTATTTTTTGTCAAGGCATGCGAAGCTATACCGTTTCTCGGGAGTATCATAGGCGATATCGTTCAAAGGATTATAGACCGGGCGGATGCTGCAAAACACAATAAAGAAATATGCAAATATATTTCTAGTCGTG